TTCATCGTGTCCAGCTCGTATTAATCAACGGTATCATAATCATACTCGTCTTCCACAATCATGTTGTGGAGAATAATACATGTCATCATGATGGATCAAAAATCCTCGACATCAAACATTCTAGCAGCAGTCCTAACAATCACCCAATGAGCTTGCAGGATACCCAAACAATGCTCCACATCCTTTCTACACCCCTCTTGACATTTTGCAAAGTGTTTTCTTTCTCACTTTGTGGATGTGGCACTGTTTTGACAAACGATGTCCACCTTAGGTAAATGTCGTATGTAAGGTAGTATACTTCATCGTATTTATGGCCATTAACCCAATATGTGCATCTCGGCGCTTTTCCTTGCAATAGTTGGTTAAACACTGGAGATTAGGCAAAGACATTTAGTAATTTTGAGCTTCTAGAACACAAAAAAAAAAAGCATGCCAAATCCATGTATCAAATGAAGCCATTGCTTCTAAAATGAAACTTTTGGCTCATTTTATGTCGTCATAAGCTCCTTGTCACGCACTTGGACAGTTTTCCAAGTCCAGTGCATGCAGTTGATGCTTCCAATCATGCCAAGGAAGCCTCGCATCTCACCCTTCCACAGAAGCCTTCGCATGTCCCTTGGCATGGGTTTCTGGAGGTACTCATTAGTGTAAAGGGCTTCAATTGCAGAGCAAAACCGCATTAGGGACTCCAGAATAGTTGTTTTTCCCATCCTCCCAATCTTATCCACTTGATCTACAAATGCTCCATATGCAAGCATTTGCAAGGCAGATGTAATTTTTTGCTCAGGAAGATGACCTAGAACATGAAAATCATCATCTTTTTGCACAAAGTATGGATCATGGTTGCAAATAGCACTCATGATTTTGTTGAACAAACTTCGTTGCATTCTAAAACGATGTCTAAAAATATGATCAGGAAATACACTGTTAGGAATAAAATAATCTTCCAAGAGATCTTTACCTCGTCTTTCTCTTTTTCTATAAAAGTTTGCGGCACATTTGAGTTTGGCTATCTGACCCTCAGCATCTATGACACGACGGGAATGTGAGGCTTGAAGCCTTCTATGTTCATCATCCTCATCATCTTCCATTGCGAAAGCCTCTACCTTCCTCGACGAAGACATTGTAAGAACTCAAGATTTAAAAACGATGAAGAATGATTTGGAGCTAAAAAAGAAGGATTGAGTTTGGTGTGTGAATGAAAATGGATGTAGGGTTTATATGGACAAAAAAAGAAAGGATGATGTTCTGGACAATGACACATGGCGTGACAAGATTGGTTGAAAATCTTATCGGACATCTATCAACAAAATAGTACTTTCGGATCATGACACATGGCGTGAAAAATTTTGTTAAAAATCCTATCCGAAATTAAAACTACATTTTTTTAATTTATTATTTTATAAAAAAAACTAATAATATTTTAAATGGGCTAGGTGCAGCGCATTTTGTAAGGGTGTAGATCATTTGTGCCAGCACATTTTTTAGACTTTGCGCCAGTACATTTATAGGGGTGGAGATGCTTTTGGCCAATTAATGTTCATTGGGTCTATCAATGTTCACTGAGTGGATTAAATGGGTTGAGTGTTGACGCATTTTTTTAGGGGTGGACTTGCTCTTAGTATACAACTTTATGTAAGTAACAAAAAACAAATTAATCATTTGATTTCGTAGTAATAATTTTAGCTTAGTCCACCCATCAATAATTCTTGGCTTCGCTATTGAGTGTCTAGCTAGCTCTATAAAAAGGAACCATTTCCTTCATTTAGCATCACAAAATTTCCTCTCAATCGACTTGCTCCAGTTGCTGCTCAAACCATAAATGTAACGAGCATCAAATCGCTCGCGAAACCACCTGCTCTTAGCTCAAATTGCCTGCGAAATCACCCGCTCTGCTTATACGCTCAACATAAACCTCAATGATGAAGCATATCTAAACTATCCAAATAATACCTGGAGGAAACCGTGGGGTTATTACTGATCATGCTCCTGATAATACGTGGTCCCCTCCACCTGGTGACACGGTAAAGATAAACGTGGATGCAAGTTGGAAGGCTAATGGTAATCTAGGGTATATTGGAGTGGTGGTGCGGGATTCTAATTCTAAATGTCTGGTTGTTCGGAGAAGGGCAATCAGGGGGAGAAGTTGTGCAGCAGTGGAAGCTTTCGGCGTGTTGGAGGGGTGCCTTCTAGCCCAACAACACAAGTTCACAAAGGTGGTTGTGGAATTGGATTTGAAGGATGTAATCTCGTGGTTGAACGGGTGTATCGAGAACTTTTGCTGGGAGGCTTTCCCTTCTCTGTGCAAGATTCGGCAGTTGGGGGAGTCCTTCCATGCATGTGTTTGGTCTTAGGTCCCAAGATTGGCAAATGAAGCGACAAATTATGTAATGTCGCACTTTGACATGGAGATGTGCAACTTGGTCTGGATCGATCGACCTCTATCTTCGTTCGTGAGAATTCTAAACAAGAACGGTCTCATTTGCCGCCCCTAGTTAGTTCTTTGGTGGTTGTAAGGGGTTGGCATTGTCTGTTTCAATGCCTTTCCTACTTCCCTTATTTCCAATTATGGTTCCTTGTTGCTTGCCCTAAGTGGCTTTCTTTGTTCTCCTGGCTTCAGCCTGGCAATGAAATATTTCCAATTCTCAAAAAAAACAAAAAACAAAAAGATCCAAATTTGCAATCCCCATTAGGGCTGGGTTCGGTTCGAAACGGTTCAGTTTTTTTGCCAAAATCGAAACCGGACCAATTTTGTTTCAGTTTTTTTTAATTTTGGTTTTTTTCAGTTCAGCTTTTGCCATGATTATTTTTTATTTTTTAAATCTGGAGCAAATCTACAACAACATCGCAACGATTGAGCACTGAAGATGCAAAAACAAAAGAAAGGTTATTCTGCATCAAATGATTACAAACTGGGACGATCAGCCATGGATCTGACATTATTGGGAGTCGGTGCGTCTTTCTTGTTGTGGATCTGAGAGCTCTCACAGAGAAAATGCATGCATGTGTTAGTTCTTTGATATTTCTAGGAGAGATTTTTACTTTAGGGGTTTGTTTTTGGGACTAATCTTCCGACGAGGTCTGCAATTTTGTCTACAGACTTGTGCACCTTTGGAGGCTCTGTGATTTTGATTGCAGCGATGAGATTTTTGCAGAGAGAAGAGAAATTGAGGCATGGGTTGTTTTGATAGAGATGACTGATGGAAATGTGGAAGAGAGTTGTTTGGCTCTGGGCTCGAGATGGCTATTTGTTAGATCTCATAAATGGGTAGTAATCTAAGGCAACAGAGATTCAGAGAATAAGAGAGAGAGAGAGAGAGAGAGAGAGAGAGAGAGAGAGAGAGAGATTTATGTGCTTAGAAAGCAGATCTCAGAAATGGGTAGTAATCTAAGGCAACAGAGATTCAGAGAATAAGAGAGAGAGATAGAGAGAGAGAGAGAGAGAGAGAGATTTATGTGCTTAGAAAGCAAGCACCCATGTGCTATACAACTTTTGTCAGCCAACTTTAGTTATTTTAATAATATAATAATTATCCATTACAAATTCCAACACACACACGCACACATATATATATATATATATATATATATATATCCAAAACAGATAATTAATTAAATAAAATAAAATAAATATTAATTTAATTAATTCGGTTCAGTTCGATTTCTAGACCACAAAAAATGAAACCGAACCAAAAGAATTCGGTTCGGTTCAGTTTTTTCGTTCTGTTCGGCTTTTTCGATTTCGGTTCTGTTTGGTTTTCGGTTTTTTGAACCCACCCCTAATCCCCATAGTTGATATGTCTCTTCTCACCTCATCTCCTGATCAACGGTCCAAAATAATTCACGACCTGGTCAAAATTTGCTAAGAATAGGGCTTCTTCATTGTAAGTAGTTTAACTAACTATTAACTATTTCAGTTATTTTTTATGAGAAATATTTAAGTAACGGTTGCAGGTATTCTAGAGTTGCTTGTAGCAATTTGATAACGAAAAAAACAACAATGATACTCTTGTCACATTTTCTATACCACATTTGTATCATGTCTCTCTAATCGAGGTTGGACTCACATGTGCCTCTATTAGAGAGGTGGGACAAATGCAGTATGAAAAATGTGGTAAGTATAGCATCACTAGAAAAAAGCCAAGCTAATTAATCATGATCACGATGCATTCATTGCAGGCAATTAACCATGGAATCCCAGAGAGTCTAATGAAGGCGATGATCACGCATGCCATGGATTTTTCAGCTAGACGAAGAGAAGTTGGAGTTCAAATCCGGAAATGATGTGCTGGAAATGTTCAAGTATGGAACCAACTACAATCTTGCATTAGACAAAGTCCTTCTCTGGAGGGATTTCTTCAAGGGGAGAGTATGGGCTGGTTTGGTATTGTTGTGCTTTGAAAAGAAACTGTTTTTGTTGTGCTGTAAGAATAAACTCATTTTTGCTGTTTCACGTTTTTAGCTTTTTTTCACCCAAAACTGTGAAAATAAGTTGTTTTTAAATGTTTATCAAACACATTTTTAAGCTCAGCTTTTTTGATACCTACTTTTTATAAAAACACCTCAGTACCAAACCTATGAATATTTGGATCCAATATATTTGAATGAATACCTCTGCTGCAATTGCAGCAGAGTTTATATACAAGATTATTACATACGCATGCAATAAAGAAAGGCTAGAAGTGGCATCCATGCTGTCCATCTTGTGGCAGTCAGCAACCACATGCAATGGCCTTGCTGTCCACGTTAAAGGTACATCTACACATGCTAACCTAGCTGTGAAGGAATGATAATATTCCTTCTGTCCAGTTTGTGAGTGGAGCACCTTTAACACTCCCCCTCAAGTTGGAGTGTGGATATCAATAACACCCAACTTGCCAAGATGTGAATGGAAGATAGGTGCTCTCCCTCAAGTTTGTGAGTGGAGCACCTTTAACACTCCCCCTCAAGTTGGAGTGTGGATATCAATAACACCCAACTACAGACATGATGCGATGAACATGGATCGCGGCCTACAAACGCTCGCCGCCAACTACTATCCGCGTTGCTCTCAGCCAGAACATGCAATTGGTATACCACATCACACTGATCATGGCCTTGTCACTCTCGTCATCCAGAATGAGATGAATGGCCTCCAAGTTGAACACAACGGCCAGTGGCTCACCGTCAATGGCCCTGCCAACGGATTCTTTGTCAACCTCGCTGACCAAATGCAAATTCTTACTAATGGCAAATACAAGAGTGTGGTGCATCGGGCAACTTTCAACAACAAAGCTTCGAGGATATCTATTGCCATACCACATGGACGATCTGTTGATACAATTAATGTACCGGCGCCGGAGTTGCTGGAAAAAGAAGGCCAAGCTCCGAAATACATTGGAATGAACTATAAGGAGTATATCCAGCGTCAACAAAGCGGCAAGAACTATATGAAATCCACCTTTGATCACATACTAGCGTAACTAAGTTTTATATACAGTCCCATGGCTTGGTCACAGTTCAAGCGATCTCAACCGCATTGAAAGAGCTGCAGCTTCCTTTTGGCTTCTTTTTCATCGAACTATTTTTAGTCAAAATTTCTCTTCTTTTGTTTCAGTGATCATGTCATATTCTGTGTTGGCTTGATGTGTTATTAGCGCCAAACAGCTTTCTACGTAGTTCAATAATATCAAACAATCTTAGACTAGAAGCCAGTTTCGAGTGAAAAAAGAAAGATAACGGATTCAAGTCAAGTGGTCCGTCATCAAGTGAAAAAGAAAACAAGGTTCATGAGCAGAATAGCAGCACATCAGTTTTAATATATAACCCATTAAAATAAGACAGAAGAAAGAGAAAGAAATATCAATCAAGTGCAACTTTTGGAATCCACAATCACCATAAGCAGCCCCAGACACCGAGGAAGACATAATCAACAAGAAATATATCAAACAGATGGATAAATCCCTTGCATTTAAGAGACGGAGTTGCCGAGAAAGATAAAAGAAATAGAAAGAAGAGGGGAGAGAAGGAAGAGGCAAAGAGAAAGAAGGCGGTGTTGTAAACTAAACCAAAAACCAATCAAGCAATAAACATAACACAACGATTTTAGATTTCCTCTAATATAGGAATACTTCTCTAACAACAGAAGCTTTATTGATTACCAACAAATACAAGAGTACTCACAAACACAAAGTATTATCAAGTATACAAACTTATGTCTTTCAAAAACTTTCATATACAAACTCTATCTCACGTCCATCTATTTATACTAATAGATGTCCTAGGTTTACATAAAGTCCTTAGAATATAGAAAATCAAATTCTATACTAAAACCAAATCTCAAACCAACTAGGAAACACAAATTCAAATATCTTGCATCCAAGATATCGTAATTCTTTTTAGTTTAGGCATATTGATTTAATGCCAAATCCAACAGGTGGGAGAAAAGGAAGCCGGCAGGGAAGAAAAAAAGAAAGATAAAGAATATGGGAGGGAAGGATGAGACGGCAGGAGAAAAAAAAAAGAGAAATAAGAGGCAAAACAGGCTTGGTTTTGGGGGACGAGGTTTTCAATATATTTGGACTTTTATGTTGGATACACATAGTTTTCCGTTGAAATTAAGCTAATGATTGATTTTTTTTTGTATATTGATATTTTTACATTAAAAAATAGAGATTTCGGCAAAACTGCATAATAGGTAACTTAATTTGTTATTGAATTCGTCATTTAAGAGGAATATCACTAGACCGTAGTACTAAGTGGCAGCTAATGATTGATATTGAGTTTGAAAAATGAACGCTCCGCATAAATAAATAAATTAAATATTAATTTATATATATATATTTTTTTTTTTTTTGAAAATTTATATATTATTTAGTTCGGTTCAGTTCAGTTTTTGTACCACCAAAATTGAAACTCAACCAGTAATTTTTAGTTCAGTTCGGTTTGGTTTTCTAGTTTCAATTTGGTTTTTAATTAATTTTTCTTTTTTAGTTTCAGTTTAGTGTTCGGTCTTTTTTTTTTTTTTTTCCGGTTTTCTAAGCCCACCCCTTAGATGATATAGATTAAGTTACACATAAACAGACTTATTTTTCAAATATATATATGTACAACAAAACATCTTAATAACGTAGAGTAATCTTTCCCTAAACGACAAAAAGTTGTGTTCATTTCCTTTTGTCATTGGTTGTCCAAAAATCATCATTATTTGTGTCATTTAATCTATGATTGATATGACGATAAGATCATTACTCTTGAAAACAACAAAAATTAGATATAGTTGTCAACGAAAAAATATTTAGACTGTTAATTTGATTTAATCATAAGGAATTGTAATTAGCACTCCAAAAATTTTATTTTGCACGTCAAACTTTCTATAATTAGAAAGAAAAATACACTAATGAGGAATGTAAAATGAGATTTTTGGAGTACTAATAACAGTTCTCTAATCATAATATGGTGGTGAGATTAGTAGTGGGGATGATGGCATAATACCTTATTACGGTGAAATCAAACTAAATGAATCTCAATTGTTTCCTATTAACACTCAATGAGTTGATTTGTCAATCTATTTAGCTAGCTATTCTAGAAGTTCTTAAAAGTCTTGAGAGCAACACCCCACGTGTCAAGATACATGTGGGAAATAAGTTCAGGCTTTCAACAAAAATTTCCAACTGGCCACTGTGTTTGTTGAACTGCATTGCTGATTCTAAGGTTATTGATTAGGCCTGATAATTCTTGATACGATCTGATAATCCGATGCGACACGACACGAAATTAATAGGTGTTCGAGTCGAAATGTAACGAATCGGGTCGTTATCGAATAACCTGATAAGCACCTGTTAAGATAACGGATTGGTTCGGGTATACACGTGGGTAACACAATACACGATAAGCAAAATATTGAGTTAATAATTTTATAACCCTAAAAAAATACTTATATATATTAATTTAACAATTTTATACCCCTAAAAACTATAATAATTATATATATATATATATTATATTAAATATTAAAAATTGGTGACCATTGGATTGGCTTAAATATCAATACCATTCAATTTCTTAAGTGTTATATGTACAAAATAAATAAATTTAAATCTACTTAATAAATATATATAGCAATGAACTTGATAGGATACGAATTCTACGAAACTAATTTCAACGATCCAACCATCAAACTTGTTTGTATATGCTTCGAGATCACATCAGCGAAAAAAAAAGCTTTCAGAGATCAAATAACAGGACAAAACTTTTCGACGGTTATCAATGAAAAATCACGATTTAATGGTTATTTTAACTCCGATTTTGATGATTTTTTATAACTACACTCATTGACCCTATATGAATACAATGAATGAACTCGATCTTCAATTTAAAATATTTACACTAGTGGATACCACAAAATCTTATGTTATACTTAATGAGAGTACGAATAAACTCTTAAGTGTTAGTGAATCTATTGTTTTGATAGGATACGCATTCTACAAAACTAGTTTCAACGATCCAACTGTCAAATATGTTTGTATACACTTGAGATCGTATACGCCAAAAATTGCAAAACACAAACATTTAGAGATAAAGTAACGGGACAAAACTTTTCGATGGTTATCAACGAAAAATCACGATTTAACGGTTATTTTAACTCTGATTTTGATGATTTTTTACAACTACACTCATTGACCCTATATGAAAACAATGAATAAACTCGATCTTCAATTTAAAATATTTACACTAGTGGATACCACAAAATCTTATGTTATATTTAATGAAAGTATGAATAAACTCTTAAGTGTTAGTGAATATATCGTTTTGATAGAATACGCATTCTACGAAACTAATTTCAATGATCTAACCATCAAACTTGTTTGTATATGCTTCAAGTAACAGGACAAAACTTTTCAACGATTATCAACGAAAAATCACGATTTAACGATTATTTTAACTCTGATTTTAATGATTTTTTATAGCTACACTCCTTGATCCTATATGAATACCATGAATGAACTCGATCTTCAATTTAAAATATTTACACTAGTGGATACCACAAAATCTTTTGTTATACTTAATGGAAGTATGAATAAACTCTTAAGTGTTAGTGAATCTATTGTTTTGATGGGATACGCATTCTATGAAACTAGTTTCAACGATCCAACCGTAAAACATGTTTGTATATACTTCGAGATCGTATATACCAAAAATTGTAAAAAACAAACATTTAGAAATCAAGTAATGGGACAAAACTTTTTTACGGTTATCAACGAAAAATCACAATTTAATGGTTATTTTAACTCCGATTTTGATGATTTTTTACAACTCACTCCTTGACCCTATATGAAAACAATGAATGAACTCGATCTTCAATTTAAAATATTTACACTAGTGGATACCACAAATCTTATGTTATACTTAATGAAAGTATGAATAAACTCTTAAGTGTTAGTGAATCTATTATTTTGATGGGATACGCATTCTATGAAACTAGTTTCAACGATTCAACCGCCAAACATGTCTGTATATGCTTCGAGATTGTATACGCCAAAAATTTTAAAAACTAAACATTCACAGATCAAATAACGAGACAAAACTTTTCGACGGTTATTAACGAAAAATCACGATTTAACGGTTATTTTAACTCCGATTTTAATGATTTTTTACAACTACACTCCTTGACCCTATATGAATACAATGAGTGAACTCGATCTTCAATTTAAAATATTTACACTAGTGGATACCACAAAATCTTATGTTATACTTAATGAAAGTATGAATAAACTCTTAGGTGTTAGTGAATCTATTATTTTGATGTAGTTTCAACGATCTGACCGTTAAACATATTTGTATATACTTCAAGATCGCATACGCCAAAAATTGTAAAAAAACAAACATTCAGAGATCAAGTACAAGACAAAACTTTTCAACAGTTATCAACGAAAAATCATCATTTAACGGTTATTTAACTCCGATTTTGATGATTTTTTACAGTTACACCCGTTGACCATATATGAATACAATGAATGAATTCGATCTTCAATTTAAAATATTTACACTAGTGGATACCACAAAATCTTATGTTATACTTAATGAAAGTATAAATAAAGTCTAAGTGTTAGTGAATATATTGTTTTGATGGAATACGCATTCTACGAAACTAGTTTCAACGATCCAACCGTCAAACATGTTTGTATATGCTTCGAGATTGTATACGCCAAAAATTTAAAAAAAAAAAACATTCAAAGATCAAGTAACGAGACAAAACTTTTCGACGGTTATCAACGAAAAATCACGATTTAACAGTTATTTTAACTCTGATTTTGATGATTTTTTACAATAACACTCATTGACCACCGCGACCACCCAACTTCCAAGGCCAACTACGATGGAATTTTTCGACGCCACCACCGCCATCTTGAAGCTCTCATTCCCCTCTACAAAACCCACACAAGAACCACCTTGATTAACCACGGTATGTGGTGGTTTGAGG